TGTTTCATCAGGCGACCAGCAATGCCTCACGGGTGGTGAAGGAGGAAGGCGTAGACTGCAGTCGAGAAATGAAGCTGGCCAGATAGTACTAATGATATTAATGCCCGTTTGCTTCACAGGCACTTGGAACGTCTCAATAAAAAAAGGCAAATAAACACGAAATGTATTCACTGCTTAAGTCTTAATGTTTCTCTACTCTCTTTCGCCTATTATTGCCGATAACTTGCTGTAAATGCCGTTCAAATGCTCCTCTACAACACACAAGTACACCGCACGCACGCCCTGTGCACAAACAACAATTATATATACAAACACAAGCACACTACATATATTACAACAGCGGCTTCAGCGTGGGATGCTGCCGTACGGAATTTTTAGTCACACAAACTACGAATTGCAAACACTAATCGAACGACTCCGTAACGGTGATTGACAGATCTATGGCACATCGTTGAAATCTCGACAATAGATCTAGCATTGTCGCATGTTACAACCTGAGCGACCTTACATGGTGCGTTACGCCCGATTGAAATCGGGTTAAATGACAAAACTAGGTCCGCACTACACCTACAAGCATCGGCCAACCTGGCATCGCATACTCACCACAGAAAAAAATTATTTATCATATTTTTAAGCACTATACAAGGCCATTTTGTTACGAGTGCGTCTATAGTATTATAGAGTCTAACGACTCAACATCATCAATAAATAGGACACAACCGCGAGCAGCAGATCGAGTTGCACCTTGTTTACATTCGTCTGTTGTAGCTGCAATAAACAACAGTGTAATATTCACACAGAATGCAATAAACAATTGTTCAACGTGCAGGAACTGGAATAAACAATTAAGCAAAGTGCATTCAGACTGTAATAAACAATACTATGCGTACAGACTACAATAACCAATAGCGCAAAGTCCATGCAGAGTGCAGTAGTAACCAATAATGCAAAGTTCATGCAGACTTGAATAAAACAAAAAGTAGAGTAATCGCAGACTGCAATAAACAATAATGCAAAGTGCATGCAGCCTAAAATAAACAATAGTGCAACGTGCGTGAAGACTGCAACCAAATTTTAAAGTACATGAAGGCTGCAATAAACAATAGTGTGAGGTTTGCAGTGACAAATAGGTTGTCATGTTCCGTTCGGGTTACACATCATACTTTATGTGATTAGATATTACAGATACTGATTCAGACGGATAGTTAACATAGTTATTCGCTCCATTCATTAACGTTTGCTTACATACAGGAAACTTGCAATCTCTCGTATTTCCACAAACATACGGACTAGAAGTCGAGCTCACGCAATAAATAAATACGTGCTATTTATGTAATCTGGCAAGTTATAAGTTACTACGGTATTATAATAGACGTAATCGTGCTATGTACACTAGCAATTTACAGGACTATGCGGCCTATATCTACATGGAATATTTCACCTGTTGCTAGCAGTTGTGACAATATACAATTGGTACAACCATAATATATAAATATATTTATAACGAACAACGTAAAACTCACGAACGACAATTCTGCATATGTGCTATAACTTGTTAAAACGCCAAGACGGGAAAACTCCAATAAGACACTCCGGCTTGGCGCGTGCTTAACTTGCCCTATACGATCCCACCGAATTTACAGCTGTATTAACAACAAGAACAGAAATAATACTCATTTGAACAAATCGGCTCCTGTTAAGTGCATCACTCCAACGAATAAACAGGTAATAAATTAGAAATTAAGACTGAACGAACGCTCTACAACAATAAGTAGATATACTATAACCATGAACATGTTTTCATAGATATGTTCATGGTATAAACTGGCAGACCCACAACCGCCAGCTTCCAGGAAATTCATGCAGGCTGCATTAGCTCATCAAACCCGCATGGGGATAGTTGCAGTGCACCTGTGCCCCCATAGAGACGGTCCACACCTCAGCTACACACACGTACGTACGCACGCACGCACGCACGCACGCACGCACGCACATACACACATACGTTGTTGTATTTTATTTACACCGTTTCAAGTGACATTCCTTTTACGACTTACAAACAACTGTATATGTGGTACCGCTCACGGTCATGTAATATAGCAGTCAGTGAGAGACGAGGGGGATTAGAAGTGGGTACTTGCATCGTTAACACGCGCAATATCCACCTCTAACAACGGCGACACGCAAACCAAACGCAGGCGTTGGGAAATCTTGCCAACTAAATGGTCACGCCACAAAAATGCGCCATTCGTCCCCAGCTTCGTCGCCCCTCGGCCGCTGACAACGCGCAGCTCTGGGTATTGCAGCGTTAGCCGGGTGTCTCTAATAACCGGAATGATGGCAGCGATCGCGCTCCTCGGTGATAGCGAGAGCTCTGTCGCGGTTCGCAATCGCAGCCCACTGCGGTTTGGCACACCCGCACGTTTATAATCAGACGCCGATTTCCAAACCATTACGTCGGATGGCTCCATCCATCACATCACGCGTCGATTTCACATCAACGGTTGCTGACATCTGCTGACATCGCCTCGGCGAAAGTGCAACGATGTGTGAAAACACGAAGCTATGTATTCTCATAGCAATCACAAAGAATACATACGTGTTCATGGTGAACCTGAAAGGACTCTTTGATACCGGCAGAGAGTTAGACTAAAATAGCAACGTGGCAATATCTGTCTATGCTACCCACACCTGCATAGTAACTGCCACGCGTGCATGCATAGACAGCGCATTATTTGGAAAGGTCAAACGTTATTTGCGCGTAGACGTGCTCAAAAGTTGAATGTAAACGAGTTGTAAACGTGCCTGCGTGGTTACATAAATGCACAATATACCGTAACTGTACACATGTAGCCATGCAGCCCTTCACTCCACCATAGGCCTGTAACTTTACCTCTGTAGCCCTTCCCTCCACCACAGGCCTGTAACTTTACCTCCATAGACCTTCACTCCACCACAGGCCTGTAACTTTACCCCCATAGCCATTCAGTCCGCCACAGGCATGTAATTTTACCTCTGTGGCCCTTCAGTCCGCCACAGGATCAAAGGACCACAGGTATGTGGCGGAGTTAAGGGCTGGCTACATAGGGAGAACTACAGGCCAGTGGTGGAAAGAAGGGCTACGTATGTAAAGCTACAGGCCTATGGTGGCGTGAAGGGCTGCACAGCTAGAGCTAAAGGCCGGTGGTGGAGAGAAGGGCTATATAGGTAGAGCCAAGTCTGACATACATAGTAAACTATACACATAAGACTAGCTAATAATTACGTAGGATCACTACACATTTTTGATGTCAGACCCCCTCTGCATGCTAGCACTCTCTCACATGCTGGCCACATCCTCATGATTAACACAGAGCCGGCAGTTTTTCTGATCGCAAGGATAGCCCGTGCAAGCGATAAACTAACAGAATTGGCAAAAAGTGAGGGCGACTACTGCATCCAGTTACTACCAAGGAAAGGCAGAGGGAGTGTGATTTTGGTAGTGCAACGTATAGTAACGGCACGTTTACACGTGACACGCAGACGACAAAGGAGCAGACGAGCTGACAGTTAAGGTCAAGACACACTGCAGCGACGACGAACCCATGTAACACTCAACAGTCTCGAGGTCACAAACTTAAAATGTCTGCCATTGTGTAGCGAGAAAGGAGACAAACTTACGCTAGTCATGAACGATTGCAGTGTAGCTGCGGCTAGTTGCTGCAACTTTCTCGCTAAACGCTACGATTGGTCGTTTTTCGCTGCAGTGTCTTGACCTTTACTCCACGCACCTCTTAACTAGGGAATGGCAACATGGTCCACACTGCATAATACGCTGCGTTTGTCACATAGGGGCGGCATCTCCCGACCATGTTGGGCACTGCCACTTGGGTGGGGGCATTTCATGACCAAGCTGGGTGCTGTTACAGTGGGCATCTTACAACCACACTGGGCATTGTTATGGGGGATATCTCATGACAACAGTGGGTGCTGTTATAGAGGGCATCTCATGACCCCTCACATATCAGCTTAGAATTTCCTGCCGACCACGCAACATCGCGACACCACGAAGAAGCTGGTGGCAGGTGGCAGCACTGGTCAGGGGCACCCGTGCAGATGCAGCAAGTGGTGCCATCTACTGGAACTCGTCGTCAGAGCTCAGCAGCGTTGTTTTCTCCGTGTAGCTGGCTCGCTTCGTTGCCGTGGCAACCTTCCCGCTCGCCAGCTCTCCCTGCAAGAACAATGCCATCTAGTACTGCTCTCCTGCACTGCACAGATGCGCACCACGCAACAGGGTGTGGAGTGGTCCCACTGGTAGAAATAAGGTGGAAGGGACATCAGGGCCATGCCCTTCACCATCCAAGAATACCACATAAAAAAACGAGTGAAAAAATGTAAATTGGACATTCAAGAGCATTTCAAACTTCCATTTCACTTATTGTTTCCCAAATTTATTACTCACTAGAGGCCAGAATTGAATTGACATCTGAAGCACTATTGCGTGGCTAGACCCCTCTAAGGGAGCTTACAGTGCTACCCCATATACTTCCCTATCTGGTTGTTGCTAACAATAAAACAACAAAATATTTAAAAAGCGTCCAGCTACGAATTAGGTACGGGCAATCGGGTACGACACCGCAGCGAGATTCGCAGCGATTATCGGCGCGAACGCAGAGGGCGCTTTCTTCGTCACCTGGGTGCCTCCGGACGTGCTGCGGGTCGGACGCTGCTCCCACGAGGTGCTGCGCGGGATGGCAGGTGGCGCCGCCGGCGGCGCGTCCTGCTGCTGGTAGCGCAGCTGCTCGATGCGCTCGTCCTCGGCCGACATGCGGTTGCCCTGCGACGTGTACTGCGTGTACTGCTGGTACTGCGGGTGGAAGTTGTGGATCGCGTCTGCCATGATGTCCTGCGCGCGAGGGGAGAGAGACGAAGTACTAATAGTAATACTAGTAATTAAGCAAAAGAACATCTTGTTTTTCTCGAGCGTTTTAATATTAGGCGGAATCATGCGCCATACACACCTCCCTGTGTGTCCATTTCTTCTGGTTCACTGTCGGGATCGTTCTTGATCACGTGATTCATTGCTATACTTTTTACAGGACTGTTGTACGGAGTGACCGCTCGTTCTTTACGTGAAGTCGAATGATTCCGCGGAGACTGAGACACGGTCACCTTGACGTGCTTGCTCGCGATACGCCCAATGTCTGCAAATGTTTACCCCTGAAACAGGGGAACCATTTAACGCTAAAACTGTCTCGTTCAATCTTGCTGGATGGAATAAGTTCGCCGAAAATTCCAGTAAAACGTACACAAATTTACGCTGCGAATAAAAACAAAAATGGCGTACACAGTTGCATTGTGGGAATTAACGTGCTGATGTTGTGATGAAAAGCTGACTATGTAAACGAACAAGTGATCAAACCGGCCGGCTATATTTTCCGTTATTTTTTTTACAATTTTCTAAGTAAATTAAGAGAAATTAAAAATGATAAATATATTTATGCTTTATATTCAAAGAGCACATATTCTACTACAAAAATTACTATCGTAAGTAATGTATGATTGAGACTGTCAAGTTCCCAGCCAGTCACATTCTGATAGATACCATATTATCAGGAGTAAGATAATATAGGTATATATCTATATTATCTTACTCCTGATATTATATACAACACATAGATCTATATATACAACATGTGTTTTATATATATATGGACCGAATCATCACTGCAATCAAGCCTGCTCATTGGCGTGAAAAGAATGCGGGTTCAATGCCTCTCTCACTTAGCTTATAGCCCTATTCGTCTCTCTCTCTCTCTCTCTCTCTCTATATATATATATATATATATATATATATAGGCCCTACGTCGAAAATCCCAACTATAAAAGCCACACTTTAGATCTTTTAATTATTATCGAATTTACCAGTAGAGATCGGCCAAACAGAGCAGGAAACAGCGCAAATGAGCGGCTCTATGACAATAAATTGCAGTATTTGTAAGAGGGTTGTCAAGAGGAACGCGAAAAGCGGAGCTAGCAGTCGGGATGGTCACATCCGGGTATGAGCGTCACCGGCATAGTGCCGCTATATATATATATATAT